AGGAGGACCACTTCTGATTGGTTAATCATTAAAACATTTATGAATAACAACAAAACATTTTAGATAGAGTGCTAGAAGATGAGTGCTTCAGGTTAGAAGGCACTCAAAATAAAACTGAGGGAGTAGAGTTGACCTTAGTGATGTGAATGGAGTAAAGCCCTTGGGACCTTCATTTGCCAATGGGACACAACTCAAAATGGGAAGAAACAGGTGCAAATATCCATTAATAATCAGAACCTAGAATATTCGAAGCATGAATCTAGAAAAATTGAAAGTTGTCAAAAATGAAATGAAGTGCATAAAGATTGATATCTTAGGCATTAGTGAGATGAAATGGGCTGGTATTGGCCATTGTGAATTTGGCAGTCATCATTTACTATGCCAGGAATGATAAATTGAAGAAGAATGGCATTAGATTAGTCATCAAAAAATGCATTTCAAGATCTACCATGAAATACAACTCTGTCTGTAATTGGATAATATCCATATGCCTACAAGGAAGACCAATTAATACCACTACTATTCAAACTTACACTTCAACCACTGAGGCCAGTGATTATGAAATTGAAGAATTCTACCAACTTCATCAGTCTGAAAATGATCAGACATGCTATCAAGATTCATTGTTAATTACAGGTGATTGAAATGGAAAAGTCAGAAACAATGATCCATAGCTGGAAAATATGTTGTTGGTTATAGGAATTATCCTGGAAATAGTATGACAGAATTTTGCAAGGCCAACAATTTATTCATTGCAAATTACTTCTGTCAACAACATCAATAATGACTATACACATGGAATTCACCCAATGGAATACACAGGAATCAAACTGACTACCTCTGTGGGAAGAGACAAGGTTATAAGATGGATGTCAGAAGAGACTCTGAAACTTGCTTTAGAGTAAAGACGCTAAAGCAACTGGAAGAAACGAGGAAGTAAAAGAGCTAAACAGAAAATTTCAAAGGGAATCTTGAGAAGACAAAGTCAAGTATTATAATGAAATGTGCACAGATCTAGAGTTATAGAACAAAAAGGGAAGAACACAGTTAGCGTTTCTGAAGCTGAAATATCTGAAGAAAAAGTACAAGCCTTGAGTGGCAATACTGGAAAATTCTATGGGTTCAGGTATAACAATTGTGAGGATGGTACAGGACAGAGCAGCGTTTTGTCCTGCTGTGCATAGGATCACTGAGTCAGAACTAACTCAACAGCATATAACAACACAACATGGGCAAAATATGGAATGATGCAGAAAGCATTGGATGAAGATGGAAGGAATAATACAGAGTCACTGTACTGAAAAGAACTGGTGGATGCACAACCATTTCAAGAGGTAGCATATGATCAAGAACTGGTGGTATTGCAGGAAGAAGTCCAAGCTTCTTGTGCTAAAGGCACTAGCAAAAGACAGGTTCTGTACTACTCAGTGGAGAGTCTATCTTCCTCCACGCCCCCTGGATCTAGGTTCCCTCTTGAAAGTTTGT